GTGATCCTTTGGTCGGCGTGACCCCTAGCAAGTCCGTTTGGATTGGGCCTTATCAATGCTATTGGGCCAGTCGGGCCCAATCCAGAACAATATTCAACTTCACACGATGACAATGCCACCACAAGTTGCTTCTCGAACACCATGAGTCCGGGGCACCAAATACTTGAAAGAAATATCCAGTTGTGCTTCTTCGATCTTCCTTATCTTCACACTAATCAGCATCTGAAAAACAATTAACTATTTCTTCTTTGCCTTCAGAATCTCCTCGAAAGAGTATTCCGTAATTTATTGAACCCTTCAAACATCTCAGGATTCTTCTTGCAGCCTTCATATGTGACACTCTTGGTTCACCCATATATCTGCTTAGTAATCCGACTGCGAAACCTATATTAGGTCGACTGTTGCACACATACCTCCGTAATCCCACAATTTGCTTGAACAAAGTTTTATCGACTTTGTCTTCCTCTCTATTCTTCTCCAACTTCACATTTGGTTCGACAGGTGAGAATGCAGGATCCGAATCATTAATTCTGAATCTCTTGAGTATCTCTTTGACATGCTTTCTTTTATGAAGCACCATACCTTACTTCGACATTTGAAATTCCATGCCTAGAAAATAAGACAATTTTCCTAGATCCGACATTTCAAATTACTTCGTCATTATCTCTTTGAACTTCAACAAGTTCTCCAAACTATTTCCAATTACTAGCAAGTCATCAACATACAAGCAGATGATTGTTATATCTTGTGCTACAACCTGAACATAGACACCATACTCTGATTTGCATTTGACAAATCCCAATTCGACTAAATATGAGTCGATCTTCTTGTTTCATGCCCTAGGTGCCTGCTTGAGGCCATATAGCGCTTTGTACAATCTATATACTTTACTCGCTTCCTTCTAAATCACAAATCCAGGAGGTTGTGTGGCATAAACTTCTTTGTCTAAAGGACCATTCAGAAATGCCGATTTCACATCTAGATGGAATGTCGACCAGCCTTGGTTGCATGCCAATTCTACCACTAGTCGAACAATCTCTAATCTTGCTACTAGAGAAAATACTTCAGAGTAGTCGAGTCTTTCTCTTTGAAGAAAACCTCGAGCTACTAATCTTTCTTTATGTCTTGCTATTGACCCATCTGCATTGTGTTTCAACTTGAACACCCACTTTACTTCGATAGCTTTTATATGTGCTGGCAATTCGACTAACTCCCATGTGTTGTTTCTTTCGATTGCCTGTAACTCTTCGACTATAGCTAACTTCCACTTGTTAATCTTCAAAGCTTCGCTATAGTTGATTGGTTCAACACCTGCAAGTAAAACAAAATGAACTAATTCTCCATCTGGTGTGATTTCATCATCACCCACCACTTCATAATCATGAAGTCTTGTTGGAAGAACTCTATTTCGATGAGGTCTTTGGCTTGTTTCATCCACATCCTCTTCGACTTCGATTATGTTGGGAGTGTCAACAACTATTTCTTCTTCGACTTCGACTGGATTCTCAACAATTCCTTCGACTGAATTCTCAATAATTCCTTCGACCTCTACTTCATTAGTTTCTTCGTCGAAATCAAAGTTCATTAATGGCTTGTTGCTAGAATTCCAATCCCAGGCAGAATTTTCATTAATCATAATATCTCGACTCAATAAAATCTTCTTATTAACTGGATTGAATAGTTTGTATGCACCGGTTTTATGATATCCTATCAGAATCATATGTTCACTCTTGTCATCAAGCTTCCTTCTCCTTGCATCAGGAACATGCTTGTAACACATAGAGCCAAACACTTTCAAATGACTTACTGATGGTCGTTTGCCACTCCACACTTCTTCGGGAACCTTGTTATTCAGTATTTTAGTAGGACACCTATTCAAAATATAAACTACAGTCGAAACAACATCTCCCCGTAAAGACTTTGGCAAATTCTTTTGCTTCAGCATGCATCTCGCCATATCTGATATGGTTCTATTTCTTCTTTCATCAATTCCATTATGTTGATGTGTATAAGGAGCAGTTACCTCATGATCAACACCATGTTCTGCATAGAAATCTTCAAACATCTTGGATGTGTATTCACCATCTCCATCTGTTTGCAGAACTTTGATCTTCTCCTCACTTTGGTTTTCGACAAGTATCTTGAATCTCTTAAAGATTTCGAATACTTTGTCCTTTCGTTTTATCACATAGATCTACAACTTTGGACTAAACTCATCAACAAATGAAACAAAATATCTGTTTCCACCAATTGTATATTCTTCGAATGGACAACATACATCTGAATGCACCACTTCGAGAATGCAGGATGATCTTATTGACATAGTTGAAACAAAAGAATTTCTGGATTGCTTTCCCACTAAACAACCTTCACAAAGTTTTTTAGGCATCTCAAGACTTAGAATACCAGTAACCATATCTTGAGTAATCAGTTGATTAAGTGATCGAAAGTTCAAATGTCCAAATCCTCAAATGCCACAACAAACTATCCTTGTGGTTGAGAACAATTTTCAAACATTGAACTTCTGTCGAACTGATCATAGTCTTAAATGTCCCGTTCTTCGACAATGGAGATTTTAAGACCAAATTATTGTTGGTGTCATCAAAACTCCATCTTTTATGACAACTGAGAAACCTTTTTCGACTAGTTGTCCAACACTTAGCAAGTTGCATTTCATTCCAGGTACATAGAGCACATCTTTGATCACATCTTTCCCTCCATTACTCATTTGAAAGACTATGTTGCCAGTACCTTCTGCTTGCAACAAACTATTATCAGCAAGTTTTACCTTGCTCTTCTTCGAATCGCCAAAATCTGCCAACCACTCCTTTCGACCAGTCATGTGGTTCGAGCAACATGAGTCGAGAAACCAGATATTGGATTCGACATGATTATCTGCAACTTCAGCCATAACCACCATACCACCTTCAGAATCATCTGAATCTTGGCGTGTAAGGTTCGCTCTTTCGTCCTTGCCTTTTGATCCATTGTCTTTTCTGTATCAAAAATTCTTGTCCAAGTGTCCCCACTTTTCACAATTATAACACTACATACCTTTCTTATCTTCTTTGTCCTTTCGATAGTTTCCTCCTCCCCTTTCCGAGGATTCAGAAGATCTATCTTCGACCTTATTCTTATGGGGATTCGACCAAGACTTCTTACCACGAGTCTTGTCGAACTTGCCTTTGAATTTGTTGGAACCATCATCCTTTTTCCATGACTGAGCTTGCAGTGCCTGTATCGAGTCCTGAACTCCTTTCCTTTTGACAATCCTCATCTCACGCGCCTCCGACGAACCAACCAAATCTTCCACTTTAATGGTTTCAAGATTGTTGGATTCTTGAATAGCTACGATAACGTGATCAAAGTGAGAGGTCAATGTTCTCATTACCTTCTCAACTATCATCTTATTAGTAATGGTTTCACCACAATCCTTCATGAGATGGACGAGTTTCTGAATATTCGACACATATTTTGCAACTTTTTCATCTTCTCCCATCGACAACAACTCATATTGTCGACGCAAGGTTTGTAATTTGACAACCTTGACTTTCTCACCTCCTTCGTAATACTTCACCAGAATATCCCATGCCTCCTTCGCCGTTTCAGCATGAGAGATTCTGTCAAAATTAGCAGCATCGACAACCGTTTGAATGCAATACACAGCCTTGCAATCTTTCTTCTTGACTTTGTTGTGGGCTTTTTTCTGTTCGTCGGTTGCATTTGCAGCCAACGCAGGAACGCCGTTGGTAACCACTTCTAGGGTTTCATGGAAGCCAAACAAGGATTGCATCTGTTTTTTCCATCAAATCCAATTTTTGCCGTCAAACATCGGAAGAGAATTCATAATGCCTTTATCACTAGCCATCTTCGCAGCGGTTGATTCCCCTGCTCTAGAAAAAACAATCTCTGATGTGAAATTCTTGAAAACTTGATCAAGAATAATAACCGGAAGCTCTGGATACCAATTTGCTAGTGCGTGAGACACTTTTAGTGAGGAGAAAAAGAGAGAATAATAAAAGAAATAAGAATTTGTATTATTTAATTGTACAAATAATGATACACTATGACTATTTATATACAACCCTAATTGAATTTGGGTTAACACAACTTGAATTATATTTAAATATTAAATCTAATTTAATATTTTAACAGTTAGGAGTCCGGGTTTCATTCTATAAGTTGAAGGAAGGAAACAAAGGAATTTATCTTTGTCCGTAGTCTTGGGTTCAGTGAATAGACAAATTTTGTTAGTCTTATTTTCTAACTGAGTGTTGAATTTTCAATCACTCACCAAAGTCAAGACTCACTTCAAAATTCAAATTTTCTTTTAAATAGATTTATTTTAAAAAATCGAGCAGATAACAAAACTCAAAACCAAAAAATATTAATAGAGATATACTTAGAATTACTCACTTAAAAAATCTTGACATTTGTGTAAGTAAATTTCTTACCGACTAAACCAACTTTAATTGGCTAGTAAGTTTAACTATTGAACAAAAATACCAAACCAATTGCTTACATCATGTTAATGGTTGTTGAATACTATTTTGTTACATTGCATTTGGAAATGAATGATGCACCAACCAACTTAGTTTACTCATTTTTCAACAATCGCGGCACTCTTTCAAATAAACCTTGTTAAATTTGTATATCTTACTATAAACATCCTTTCATAATACATGTATAAGTTTTTCAGACTTGTTTTTAATTATTTACACTGTTTGAACAAGAAAATTAATTAATACAACAACATTGATTTTATGAAAATTTGACTTTGACTTGTGTTCCATGAAAAAATATAGTATCAAACAAATATGATCACAATGTTATGCATCACCCCATGTGAGATGTTCCAAGAAATCAAAACATAACTCTTCATAATTGGAAGCTCATTAAACTTAAAAAAATAAAATAAGAAGATGAATAAACAATTTACATTATAGTATCTGATTCTGATCTATGTAAAAATCTGAAAAGAAAATAAAACTCCTGATCCATCAAACAGTTGTAGGTTGAATACAAATCTTTGGATTTTGAACTTGAATCTGTTGAACCTGTAAACTTGTCAATTGAACACCACTTGATCCTGATCTTCTTTTCCAAAGACTGTTATCACTTTTGCTTCCTTCTTCCAAATTATTCATTTTCTTGATCACAGGCAAAGGAGGATCCATTTCATCAATTCTTATGCCAACAACAATGTTCTCATTTCTGACACACTTTTGAATATTTTTGGGAACATTTACAATATTACTACTATTATTATTAGCTATAACCCTTTGTTTGGTTATGGTGGTGGTGGTGGTAGAAGTAATTGAGGGGGTGCTAATAAGATTCTTACCTGAGAAAAGTTTTTTGAGTTTGGAGTATTTCACAACAGGTGAAATGATGGAACTAGAAATGGTTTTGTTGCTGAAACTGAGTAGTTTGTATTGTGAAGATGGAAATCCAGCAATTTTGTTGTTTCTTTTGACTTGACCCATGCAACCTATTTTTGGTGATAAAGGGTCATTGGAACAAGACGGTGGATTGATTCTATTACATCTTGGAAGATTCACTTCTTTGATGGAGGGTTTTGAACAAAGCATTGGAAGGAATGTGTTTTTTTGATGGTGGTTGTAAAATTGATGATGGGTTTCAAGTTTTTGATTGCCCATGTTTTTAGGACCAAAGTTGAGAGACAAGGTTAAGGATGGTTTTGTGTTTGTTTCCTATAAAGGTGGAGAAGTGTGAAGAGGAAAGTGAGAGTGTGATGGAAGAAGGACAAGAAGATGAGAAAGTGTCAGAGGAAATGAATAGACATACCTCTTCTTTTGGTTTTGGTGATATGAGAGTTTGAGGTTGTCAAATATGTAAAGCTTTGGTATGTAGTTTTGTGATTGTGACCTTTTATTTTAGAGAAATCATTTTTGAACATGATTTTTTTAAATGTAAATTTGTGTATATAGACATGCATCAAAATTACAAAGAAAAAGGAGACGAAGGACCACTAGGGAGTGTGGAGTGGATTGGTTTTATTTGGAATTTAGCAGAAACCAGATCAAGGATCAGGCTTTGTCTGTGGAAAATGGAAAGGACTAGTAATGAGTACAGCTAGATATAGCATATTTTTTCTATATTTTGTGTGGTGTGTGTAACTTTGGTGGGATCTGAATTGGTTGATCTAATGGTAGTAAACTACTCATAAATATAACTGTAGTTTGTAGGGGTAAAGTAAAATCATTGAATGAGCTAAAGCAACACTTCATTGTTCCCCCTTTTAACACTTTGCTTTTGGGTTGAATGAATAAGAAGATAAAGAATCGGGTGGAAATAATGTAGAATAACAAGAGAAAATTGTTAGAAGAATAAATTAGATTTCCTAGTTATTTAATTAGGTGAATAAAAATGTTTATTTTGTAAGACAATAATATGGTTAAGATATAAAACCAATAAATACTACAAAATTATATTTTATTAAATGTATTTTTTTTTTAATATAACTGACCAATTTTTTATCTTTGTTTCTGACTTAAACAACTTACAATTCACATTTCTCAAGTAAAGTGCAAGAAACTAGAATGAATTTGTTTATTTTTTTATCTAACCTATTAATTTAGAAAGCAAATCCTAATGTGTGAATACAATTTAGATTTTAACATAAAACATATTTGATATAAATTATAGAATCGTGATTGTATTATTAAAAAACATTTTGGTGAGATTTCAGAAATTATTTTTTTAACAAAATATTCTGAATTTAAATTCAACCTTGAACACATAGTTTATAATTGTACGCAAAAGCATTCAATTTATTTTGATGCATAACTAGTATACTTTTTAAAATTGTAAACAATAAGAGTTTTAATCTCTTGATAAAAAATTTAAAATTGAACACATTCATGTTTTTAATAACGTTTTGTTGTGAAAAATGATATCTTGAAATAAAGTATAAATTTATTTCTTTATGATCAAGAAATAAATAAGGGTAGAAAAGATGGAAAAACAAGAAGAATACAAGAAATTGGTTGTTAACTGATATTATTTACTTTCTCTTTAAATCAGATTACAAGTACTCAAGAATAACAAATAACTCTCTCACCTTAAATTAGGATTTGCAGTATGCAATGATGAGAGACTAGTATGCTATTTATAATAAACCTAACATACTAAACTAATAGGTTTTTTCACAAATATCCATTACAAGCTAACTTAGGGTACAAGCTAACTTAAACAATTGGACATAACAAACAGGCCTAATTCGATGCTAACAATCCTAGCATTCTTCAACTACTGCATACTTGATCCTCCTTCGACTACAACATACAATACTTCGACACCAGCATGTGAGCAACCTTCGACTGCATGCTACAACTTTGTCGAATTGTCGAAACCAAGAAGCTAACCTTCGACCCAATAGAGTTTGATCTAATATCTCATAAATCTCCACCTTGGAACAAACTCTAACATCAAAGGAACACGTTATCTTTCTTCATGCATCTTTACCAACTACATACAGTGGAAAAACTTGCAACTTGGCAATGTCTTGGTGATTGTATCAGCAACATTATGATTTATCGAAACCTTCAGCACTTGGACTTCTCCATGCTCAATTACCCCTCTAATGAAATGCAACCTCACATCAATGTGCTTGGTTCACTCATGATAAGCTGAATTCTTTGACAGGTGTATTACTTTGACTATCACATTTAACAATGATAACTTGACCTTGAAGTTTCAGCTCCTTAGAAAAACCTTCAAGTCACAATGCTTCTTTCACAACTTCAGTGAGGGAAATATATTCTACTTCAGTGGTTCATAAGGCAACAACCTTCTGAAGTGTCACTTTCCACTGATTGATGTGCCAAGCATAGTGAAAACATATCTAGAAATGGATTTTCTGAAATCCATACAACCTGCATAATCAAAGTCGACATATCCTTCGATTACTGTTTTATTATCTTCACCCAAGGCTCCACCATAAATAAGGACTCTGTTTAGAGACCCATTTATGTACCTTAGAATCCATTTCAATGCTTGCCAGTGAGCCTTTCCAGGATTCACCATGTACCTGCTTACAAGACTTACTGCATAAGCTATATCGGATCTAGTACATACCATAACATACATCAAAGAACCCACTATATTAGCATATATAATGCTATTCATATAAGCTCTTTCGACATCAGTACTGTGACACTTATCTATACTCAACTTGAATTGAGGGTTTGTTGGAGTCACAACAGGCTTTAAATTCGACATACCAAACTTCTCAAGAATCTTTCGTAGGTATGCCTCTTGAGATAAGCATAATTTCGACTGCTTTCTATCTCTTCGAATGTGAATCCCAAGAATCCTAGATGCAACTCCCAAATCCTTCATTTCGAACTCCTTATTGAGTTCATCCTTCACCCTCATTACATCTTTGACATTGTTGCTTGCTATGAGAATATCATCAACATAAAGCAACAAAATAACAAATGAATTACCAGGTCAAAATCTGAAGTAAACACAGTGGTCAAGCTGACTTCTAATGAAACTTATGCGTGCCATGAACTTGTCGAATCTCCTATTCCACTGTCGAGGAGATTTTTTCATCCCATATAATTATCTTTTCAACTTGTACACATAATCTTCTTTTCCCTTTTCGACATACCCTTTAGGTTACCTCATCAGGATTGTTTCATCTAGATCACTATACAAGAATACAATCTTCACATCCATTTGTTTCAGTTCAAGGTCGAACTGTGCCACCATGGCAAGCAACATTCGAATGGACCTGTGCTTTACAACTGGAAAAACACATCATTAAAGTCGACACCTTATTTCTGAGTGAAACCCCTTGCAACCAATCTTTCCTTGTATCTTTTTGATGTCACTCCTTCGAATCCTTCCTTAACTTTGAAAATCCATTTACAGCTTACTAATCCGGATCCAACATATTTCTTAATCAGTTCCCAAGTGTTGTTGTCATGAATAGATTTAATCTCATCATCCATGGCCTTCAGCTATTCAATCTTATTTTGACTCCTCATAACTTCCTTATGGTCTCTGGGTTTTTCGTCTAGAACCTCACTTGTAGAGATTAAGGCATAAGCTATAAGATCTGTATACCCAAGTCTCTGAGGTGGTTTAATGAATCTTCTCGTCCTATATCTTGCCAATCGGTAGTCATCGACAATTTCCTTAACTTCCTATGGGATACACAATTCAACATCAACATGCTCTACCTCAACAAGAATCTCTACCCGTTCCACCTCTTCGTCAGATATTTTTGCACTTCAATCAACATCGTCAGTTTTCTTGAAAGCCATTTCAACTTCATTGAAAACTACTTCTCGAATGGTGATATACATCCTGTAACCTGGCTCTAGGCACCATAGTCTATAAGCTTTGACTCCTTCAGGGTATCCCATGAACATGCATTTCAGAGCTCTAGGTTCGACCTTGTCTTGCCTAATGTGAGCATAGGCTACATAGCCAAAAACTCTCAGTTTGTTGATTTCTGGTGGATGTCTCGACCAAACTTCTTCAGGTGTCTTCATATCTAACGCATTCTAAGGACATCTGTTTATTGATATGTTGTTATCGAAACATCCTCATCCCAAAACACCTTCTTTAATCCAGTACTAGCCAACATGCATCTAACTCTCTCCAAAATAGTTCGATTAAACCTTTCTGCCAAACCATTTTGCTCTGGAGTACCTGCAGTACTTCTGTGCCTTGCAATACCAGAGGCAGCATAAAAACCGTTGAAAGGCTCATTGCAAAATTCAAGGTCTATTATCAACCTCTTGACCTTTCTGCCAATTTGATTTTCCACCAGAGTCTTTCAACTTTTGAAATTCTCAAAAGTTTCATCCTTAGTCTTCTGGATGAATACCCATAACTTTATGGAATAATCATCTACTATGGATAGAAAATACCTTGCTCCTGAATGTGATGTACACGTTGCAGGCCCCCAAAGATCAGCATGGATGTAATCAAGGGATCCATGTGTTCTTTGTTTGCCTTTGTTGAACTTCACTCTGCAAGATTTTCCAAGTACATATGGTTCACAAATCTTCATCTTTTCGCCTTTGTCTCCACCAAGCAAGTTTTGTTTCCCAAATTACATCAGACCCCTTTCACTGACATGGCCCAATCTCATGTGCCAAATTTCTGTCTTCGACAAAGATTTCGTGGATGCAACATTTGTCAAACCACTTACAACTTCAGCCTCAAGGGTATACAAGCCTTGCTTCTTCACGCCTCTCAAGACTTCCTTCGAACCCTTCATGACTCTTAGGATACTTTTCTCTCCTTGGAAAACATACCCTTTCTTGTCAAATTCACCAAGAGAAATCAAATTTCTCTTCAAATCAGGTACATACATGACTTCAGTCAATAACTTTATTGACTCATCGTGGAGCTTGAATCTCACAGATCCAACACCTGTAATCTTGCAAGAATTGTTGTTTCCCAGCAATACAAATCCACCATTTGGTCACATAAGTCTTCGAACAAGTCTTTGTTTGGAGTCATGCACCAAGTACACCCATAATCCATAATCCACTCCTTCGACGGGTTGCTGCTCGAAACCACAAGATAATCAGATGAGTTGAAATCATCTTAAACAATAGATGCGTTGCTATTATCCATTCCTCCATGATATTTTAGGAGTTCAGGACACACTTTT